ACATCTTACAGGATTTTATTATACATGCCCCTTGCTTGCCATACAGGAAACCTTTAGTCTTTGCCCAACACATGGTGCTCGTACAACAAGAAGCTAATTGTAGATCATGTATTGATTCTCTTTCCTCTGACAGCGTAGACGATGTCTTCAAGGTAGGGCGTCTATGACTCATACCACAACATGACATGCGCTTGTAAAGTCTTTGTGTTCGTACATCACGCTCTTACCACCTCGTCAGGATTATCACAGTGACAGTTGAGTGTCAGTGACGTGCATGCCTCAACTCATTTACTGGGAAAAGTGTTAATGTTTTTCTCATCAGATGTGCTAACATGGTTCTCTTGTAGGTATCAGATGTGTAATTGAAGAGTGATGTAATGTATTGATTGAATGGCCAGTGTATAAGATACCGGCAGCATGAGAGGAGGGAGGGGTGATATATTGCCATTAATTGGCTGTTCTGCTGTTCAATCAACATGATAAATGTATAGTGTTAGACTGGTAACAAATTAATTGTAATTCTCAGGAGATGGTGTGTGAAGCATTGATACAGGTGGCTGAACTGGTTGACCACCTTTTATCCCCCAGGGTTGATATAGCAATCACCATATCAGTCCATCTGTCTGTCCGTCAAGTGTCCGTTTTCCGTTTCCGGAAACTCCCAAAACGTTGAATATTTGATGAATATATGAGAGAGAGTTGGACTTATGCTGAAAATGAAGTCTATGGGGCAGAGCTCCCAAACGGTTGAATATTTCTGAATGAAACTTGCTATACCAGTCAACTTTGAAAAATACTGAGCAGCATTATATTTTTTCTTCACTGAATTGAAGGTATCCAATGGCAATGAACCAAAAGTGGAGCATAAGTAGCCAAACTGAATATGTCATCTCACTCTTGTTTCATACATATGTATATTTTCGTTAACTCATGACTTAAAATGTGTCAATCTGATTAATAATATTATCCATGCAAAACAGGAAATAATTCAATGAATGTCAGTCAGAAAATATTTTTGAAATCATTAAAACGGTTATTGGATATGTTATGTTTTCATAAAGAAAAATTTCTCAAGGAACAGCATTTTAAGCAGAATTGGTTTTAAGAAACGACTACTGATTGGTTAAGAATACCCAGTGGAATAGACCCATGAGAAGGAACACTATTGTATACTTTAAGCAAGGAAAGGGATCAGTATTCAACTGTGAATGATAAATTGTGAGTATACACTCAGTGGCACAAAAATTATCGCCAGCCCCGAAATACTGTTTAGAAAAGCGTCCATATAATCAAACCCATCACTTAATCCTTCACCAAGTCTCAGGATCCTTGATGGTTGCTGCTGTGGTATTGCAATCTAGTGACCCCCTAAATTTTAAAGTTTTTGACAGGAATGAATTTAAGATTCCAAACTAAGTGCCCTTAGCAGGCAAACTGGGAATAAACTGTTTTAGGGAATGTGTTTTTTGTAAAGTTTGATTTTCTTCATTTCACAGATATTTGAACATTGTTATAAAAAAGCTTTCATTGCAATTATGTAAAATTAAACCATTAAAGCCTCTTCCTCTTTACTGGTCCTTTATTGGTGAAATACCAGGCACCTCAGTCACGAACCATCACATTAGATATAGCTATATTAACATGAATGGGGACATTTTAGACCCCATTTGGGAATTCAACTGACATTTGCTTCGGGCTTGGCTTAACATTGGCCTCTGATCAGGTCTACATACATTCCTGGTTTTGACATTAAGGTGATGATCAGATCAGGTGATGACAATGGCCCTTTGACTTTCATGCTTAAATTTGAACCCTGTTGACCATCGTACTGAATTCATTGTTTTGTAAAATTGACAATTTTTTTTGGTATGCTTCAGAATCTAAGTCTATTTTAGACTGTTTGCCATGTTGATCTAAAGTCAAACTTGGGTAATTTAATAAATGTGACACTAATTTCTTGAGACCAGACTGAACATGTTATGTCTACAGAATTGTAGTGTGGGGACCGAGGGTCTGTCGCAAACAAGACATGGATAGAAAGCTAAGGTGGAGACTGGTTTCATTGATCTTGTTGAGAATATTATTTCTAGGATATGTCTGAGGGAGACAACACTTAACCCTAACAGTATCTGAGGCAAGAGGTCATGTTAAGTCCTATTACTTACATCTTTAGTCCTATTAGTAACATCTTTGAATAATTCAGCATCACGATATCAGTAACTGATCTGCACTACCCTTTTAACCCTTTTGATTACAAAAACAGTTTGTATAACTGGAGCTCTACCCATCAGCAGGTATGATAATCCGCATTTCCATGCAGTTATATACACTTCCTTATCATGCTTATAGACTGCTATGTTTTCTGTAAAAAGTTCGGTAATATATACACACAAACATAGATTGTCATGTAAATTTTAGGCTTGTACAGGAAGCTCATAAAAATTACTTACAGATTGATCAAGAAGTTAGTCATTAGGTGATTTTTGGATTGGGGCGCTTAATAGGGTGAATACAGTACATGCACTTCAAATTTGGCATTTGTAAAGTACAAGCAGAAACAAGAGATATGAATATCAAAAGATAAAGTTTGAATTTCTTCTGATTCATTAAATAATTCTCCTTAAAATGTGAAATGACCGAAGCTAGTAGATATTTGCTTCCCAATGAGCATTATGATATTGACCAGGGTAGTGTTGAGAGGAGACTTGATACAGTGCGTGGGTGGTTCACTGATGGTGAAACGGACCACATTTTCTGCTCTGTGGTCCCAGGATTCTGCAAGTCTTGGTTGATGGTGTTACTCATCTCAACCAATATTACACACGAGCATCCTACTGACAAACTCCTCCAGGCTTTAATTACCCTGATTGCATGTTGAGCTGTATTAGCAGAATCAATAAGTAATCCCACAAGGATGAAGAGGAGGCCAACAATCCAGTTTTTATCCTACAGATATACATTGATTATTGAAACATCCCAAAATGTCAGTGCTATGGTTTCATAAGGTGTCAAAGCAAACCACTGATCTTGTAAAATGTCTATGTTCTCCTTCCTGGGATACTGAAACGTTTGTTGTAAGTTGTCATTGAATGTGAATCCCGGCTCCCACAGATACCCATTGATCTTACTGGAACGTGTGTAGTAAGTTGTCATTGAATGCGAACCACAGCTGCACCAAATAGCCATTCATCTTGGCTGTATCAGTGTATAAAGATTCTGGTTTTCTACTTGTGATACTCCATCCTGGGCTATAGATAGACATGGTAAGAATTGAGGTCATGTTGGACGATTGAGTTGGTTGATCTGGATCATGAATGTGGTTTGTTTTGGCTTGTTTCCTCATTCGATGCTCCCTGGTGCTGGGAGATAAATGTTGGTTTATCATTGAGGTGCTCATCTTCTTGGTTCAGTGAAGTTCAAGTAGGTATTGATGAGAAGCCGACTCATCACATTGAAAAAAAACCCCGAATCCATGAATGACAGTACTGTATGCTGGAACTGCTGATTGATTTTGAACAATCACTGTCTGCCATGATAACGTTATTTCTGTCAGGATGATTATGTATCTGTGTCATGGTGTTAAAATGTTTAGACACACCTCGTCATGATTATGCCAAAAAGAGATGGTGTCCCATATTGATGCTTCCAGTGCCTGATGACATTTTCCCCTAGCATAATCACTGACTTATATTTGCTATCGATACAGATCATAGAGATCTATAATTGTTAAATAAATATAGATCAATTATCGATGAATATTGAAAAAGTAACTTTGAGCAAATATGAAAAACAAATTCGAAAGAAATCCACACACTTCATGCCACTGGTGAGTGGTGACACATGGATTACTCTTCGGACATTTACGTTGTGACAAAAACAGTTGCTTTCTGTCTTTGGCAATTCACATGATTGATAATAAAAAATGTACTGTAATGATTAAGGGTGTGAGGTATTACCAGAATACTGGTAAATTAAGGCTCTTTCCTTCCATGATACGTATCAAAATATCTTTTTTGCATGTTTGATATCTCGGGTGATTTCAAGTTAAGATTTTTATCATGTGTTTAATGTCATATACTTGCCAAATACCTTCGCTGCCCAGGAGCGAGCATTCTTGGCCCCAAGATGGCTATGTATTTTTTGTGAATGAGTAAACATCATGTTGTACCAGCATCTTGTTTTGTTCCATTTCTGAACATCAGTTCATACCTGTAATAACCATAATGTACAGATTGCTTCTTAATTAAAATTTTAGAATTATACACTATATCGTGAAATGTATCGCAATACATCCTTGTGTATTGCAAAATATTGTGATACACTTTAAACCTCCAATACCCATCCCTAGTAATGATCTTAAGTTATCTCAAAATGCTGTTTCGCTTTTTAAACATCTTCTCTGAAATTGCCAGACTGAGGAAGGTGAACTTTGGCTTGTATGGTTCTCTTTTTCATGACATCATATTTTGTTGAAATGATTAGGAATTTACCAGGTTTTCAGTAAAATAATTGCATGCCATACGAAAAAAATATTCTCCGTAAGGTTTGAGACTTAGAGATGAAACTTGGTTTGGTTGGGATCCTAATACAAGTCCATGTTCACAGAAATCAATGAACATGATGAAATTGTAGAAATGTTAAAATTACAAAAAAAGAAATGAAAATCAATATGATACTTATTGATTGGAATTAAAAGTTAAACATGGTTTGTATGAAGATTTATTTCAACAATGTTGCATTAGCAAAGAAAAAAACGAATCCTATGAAAAACACCTTCACAAGATTGTTGATCTCTTGAACAGGATCTCACAAATCTATCCAATTCTTGAGCCCTGTTTCAAAGCAGTTCTTTGAATTCCCTGTCTTTTGAATTTGTTTGAAGTTGACATTTGATGTTTCCTCAAAGTAGAATCACTCCACAAGTCAGCAGTTGTAGATTGCTAACTGTATCAGTAGGAGCAAGATGAGCATCATGAAATGATTATTCCTTCGTCTTTCAGGCTGAGAAGGCTAAAAACCTTCTGTTTCAAGCCAAGTATGGTCGTTTTGGACTGGGTGATCCCTTCATTGCTCTGCAGCGGGACTCGGAGAACATGAAGGACAACAGTTTTGATGAACCAGCAATCAAATCAATGTATGACAATCAACTAGCTCAACTAGAAAACCTCATTGCTACACAACGCAAAGCTCAGCTGAAGATGAGGGAACAGCTTGCATCAGCCGAGAAACGCTATCACAAGGTAATGTATTATCTAGGCAATGTTCAGTGTCATATTCTTGCTAAAATGTTTTCTGAAAGTTTAAAAGCAATTGAAAAAGATCATATTAGATGAATCGGTCATTTAGCTAGATTGATAGAAGTGGTACAGCGTGAATCATTTTGAAAAGAAATATGTTGAAATAGAAGAAGTGAAATTAATATACTGCCGAATAGTTAAGGTATCGTGAGGCCTAGTAGAAATTTGCCTCCTTTAACTTCAGGGTTTTTCTGTGTGTTATCCTTATAAGGACTAGTGGACAAAAACCTGTTAGATTCTATTAGTGAACAGTCTTTTGACATGTTGGAGTATGCTGTAGAAAATTTCTTCTGATTTTTATGGATGCTCTTCTTATTTGTCCCCTACCTTGTTTCTAACACTGGAAAATGTCTGCACATATTGTGTGGACTATTTTTGAGCTAACAAAACTTCATTACATGCCTATGTAACACTTAGATCCATGTTGGACTCTGGTCCTTGTTTCACACGTATCGATGCTCATGATATCAATCACTGGATTGTCTGGTCCAGACTCGATTTTTCACAGACCCTCGTCATATAGCTGGAATATTGCTGAGTGCGGTGTAAAACAACCAACCAACCAACCAACCAACCAACCAACCCTGTTTCACACAGCTATCATGACACTAAGACTGTCGTAACCCCATGATGTAAGATAGAATTACGACAGTCATAGCACTACAGTGATCTCTCGCTAAAACGCTACTTTCGGGGTCCAAATAATTGATGAACGTTGTAGATGATCAGCGGTTTAACGAAGGTCGAGTCGTAGGTGGTAGATGACAAACAAAACAGTATACATGCTCTGCCTACCCAACATGATCTACGTTGCACGTTCCAGAGTAGATTAGAATAGAAGTTGTTTATGATTCATAGTGTAAAAAAAAGATTGATCAATATTAATATGCGCTTTCGAAAACAACAACATCGTATCCCTTCAGCGAATTCAGGTGAATAAACAGGTATAACAAACTTAGTCAATAAAGTATGAAATTTGATATAAAACATCACTAGAGTCTAAGACATGATGATTTACCATTTAAAATGTATTTCCTGCTCTCCAAGGCATTGTTTTAAATGCAGAGATTAAGATTACCGTGTGTATTTTCTCGTAAACTAAGCCGGAAATAGCAATCAGCTGTGCACACGTTTCCTCCCAATCAACTGGTGATTCAGTTAAAACGTATGCAATGACACAACTTCAAAGAATTTTGATGCAATGGTCGGAAGAAATTGTATCTGAAATTATTTTTTTATCAGGAATAATATATTCCAATATCGTGTTATTTAAGTTGGAGCTTCCACTGTATATATACTTAAACTAATACGAATCATAAGTGTAGCATTTTGGTACAGGTGGTATGTAGGATATTTTTTTACGTATGGAACAATTTGACCGGTCACCGTAGGGACTTCCCGCGCTACATGTATTTCGATTGCGAAAACCTTATGTTGACATTTAGTAGTCAAACTGCCTCAAACTGGCTTCAGTGGCAGTAATCTGACCGTGGTTGCTGTGAATAACGGTGAGTTGCGCAATCTACTGATCACTTCGCATACGATTTCCGCGAAATTATTGTAAACATTATTATAATTATTGAATGAAATTTTGAATATTATTAATAAAATATATTGCAAACATAACCCAGGTAAAAGATGAACAATTTGTTTTGTCACAGCGACATGTCATGGTGATAATGATGTTATCTCATGCATGACATGTCACAGCGACATGATCTCATGGTGGTAATGATGTTATCTCAAGCATCACGTTTTGTCACAGCGACATGATCTCATGGTTGTAATGATGTTATCTCATGCATCACATTTTGTCACAGCGACATGATCTCATGGTGGTAATGATGTTATCTCCTGCATCACGTTTTGTCACAGCGACATGGTGTCATGGTGGTAATGATGTTATCTCATGCATCACGTTTTGTCACAGTGACATGATCTCATGGTGGTAATGATGTTATCTCATGCATCACGTTTTGTCACAGCGACATGTCATGGTGATAATGATGTTATTTAATGCATGACATGTCACAACGACATGATGTCATGGTGGTAATGATGTTATCTCATGCATCACATTTTGTCACAGTGACATGATGTCATGATGGTAATGATGTTATCTCATGCATCACATTTTGTCACAGCGACATGATGTCATGATGGTAATGATGTTATCTCATGCATGACATGTCACAGGAACATTATGTCCTGATGGTAATCATGTTTTATCTAGAGCTGTAACGTTTCACTGATATCTATGATATTATTGATACTTAAGTACACACGTTGCTGTAATTGCCAGATTGTGAGATCGCGATGCTCTATAAATAGAACAGGAACTAATAGAGTTACCTCCCATAATGGCATAAGTAGCATACCGCCACCTGTAAATGTGGCAGAACACAAGGACGTAGCTGAGGATGCGCCAACAGACTATTACATTTAATAACCATCCCTTCATTTAAAACTGTTCTGTTCTTGTGGTCTTGTGAACATGATGTTCATACACTTTTCCCACTGGTTGGAGACACATCATAGTGCTGAGTCCTATATATGTCTCATTGAAATGGAGGTTCCGAATAGAACACATTTTATTCAATATCTACAAAAAGAAGTTGTTTTTTTTAGTTTGGTTTGCCATTAGAGGCGTAGATTTAGTGAATCTGCTGATCACTTGACCGTGGCCCTGTGTTGTGAGAAAGTAGCTTTTTTTACCTTAAGCTCGACTGACATCTAGTCTCTAAAATGAACTTATCTTACAGAAAAAAAAGAAAAGTTGTTGAATTATAATAAAAAGGAGCCCAGACCCTCTCTTCATTTTCAGATACTGCAGTAATCTAGACTTGCCAAACATAGACTTGCATGGGCTGTATTGGATATATTTGTATCGGGGTCTGTGTGACAGACTTACCTTAAGCATAAGGGGTGGTTGGTTGTACATTGGGTTAATGTAACTGTAGCTCTAGGCATGCTGAGGATTTATGTAACTTTTGAACACATTGTAGGCAATGATATACTAATGTCTCCACTGACAATTCTCTGTGATAGGTTGTGGCTGAGCTTGAAGATGAGAAACGTAAGCATGCTCAAGACACAGCTCAAGGAGACGATGTCACTTACATGTTGGAGAAGGAGAGGGAACGCTTGAAACAGGAGGTGGGGTGACATGTAGTTGTATCTTTGATAACATGTGCTTTGTTACATACTGGAATGTAGGCATCTTGATATATACTCTGCAAAAAAAGAAACGCAAAAGTGAGTTTAGATGTATGTTTTATATATCACATAAATAATCAACAGATGGTAATCGATTGTTCAAACTTTGAACACATTCTCATTGAACCAGGTTCCATAAGGAATGCATGGAACAGTAGATTTGCAAGGTGAAGGTCATCTGTGCTCAATATCTTTTATGGCCACCATCGTTCCATGGAAGCAATCAGCCCCTGAATTGCGGCCTGGTGAATGTTCACCTACCTTTCATACAGTGCTTATGCCAACTGTTGGAGGCTCTGTGTTTGTTGCCGACGTACTTGCAGTCGTTGATCCAGTGCATCCATATATGTTTGATTGGGTTTAAATTTGGGCCATGGCAGGATCTGGGTGTTGTGATTCCTAAAAAAAAGGCTATTGTCAGTCTTGCCGTGTGAGGTCGGGCATAGTCTTGTTAGAAAATAACATTCACTTGTTGCATAATGGGAAGGACATATGGCCGTAGATTCTCATCCATGTAACGTGCCGTTGAACTTGCACCAAGTCTGTTCTACCAGTGTAGGAGAAGGCTGCCCACATCATCACACTACCACCGCCAAATCTGTCCACTTCCTGTATGCAGTTTTGGGCATATGTTCCCCATGAAGCCTGTAAACATGACCTCTGCCATCCGCACGGGGAAGCATAAAATGTGACTCATCACTGAACCAAACTTCTCTCCATCGCAGTTTTGGCCATACTCTGTGACCTTGACACCATTGACATCACAGCCGACCATGGAGATCAAAATGACCCCTCGAACTGGTCATCTAGCGCTAATACCTTCAGCGCTTAAACAGTTCCTCACTGTCTTGGTTGATATGCTACGCAATCCTTGTATTGCTGTAGTTGTAGAGGTGGCTGTGGTGGTTCTTTCAAGTAAGATACGTAGCCGTATGAACCTGTCCTATGTTCTAGTAGTGATACATGGTCAACCGGATCTGGGAAGGTCACATGCTGTCCTGTGTGTTTCATAACGGTTCCAGCCTTGTAATGGTGCTTGGTGCTACGAGGAAGAACCTGGCTACGGCCAAAGATGATTCGCCTGTATGCAGTCAGCCAATGGTGTGGTTACATTGAGCTTCCGTCAGTCATGGCATATTTTCGCAGTTCTCTTGCTGTATGATTGTTGTGGCACGCAAATGAAAACACATGTTTTTTTTTGCCCAACAAGTGATGTTGCACGTGCATGTCACGTTGGAGTGTTTCGGCGCCAGGCTCTGACATGGTTTGTCTTTTGCGATTTTTCCATCTTTTTACCAAATTTCTGCAGTACCAAATTCTTTCAACACAAATCAATCCGAAACCATGCAGTAACGAAAAATTCATTTTTGGTATTGAATTTGTTTGGATATCGGCAACACTCTGTCAAATATTTACAATATTACTACTTTTGCGTTTCTTTTGTTTGCAGAGTATATATGCTACTCCACTTCTGATAGGGATATTTTTATCTTTCCATGATACACGAAATTGACAAATTTGATTATCCCCATCAAACGTGGAGTCGTATATATATGCATGTCCTCCTCAAACATAAATACAAGTGCAAAGTATGTGTGTAGGAACCCATTTAGTCTTGGACCCTTTCGTATGTAAGCTGTTCCCACACAAGTACATATACGTTAGTTAACAGGAACAAATTTATAACTATATTTTTCTTGATGACATTTCTGGCAATTGTTATGGTAAAAGACAGTTTCACTGTATGTGGATGATGGTTACAGTTACTTATCTTCTGTACTGCAAGAAAGATTAGTTTAATACTGCCCCCTGGGGATTTCAGGTTAGACTAGGTCCCCACAATTCTATGCTGGTCGTAAGAGGTGACCAAAAGGATTGGGTGGTCAGACTCAGTGACTTGGTTGATTACGTATCCCCCACAACGTGGGTCACTGCTCACAATATTGTTCAGTTGATTGTGTAGTCCAGACTCGATTATTTACAGGCTGCCATTTATTGTTGGTATACTGCAGAGTGTGGCGTCATACAACAAACGGGGGTTTACTCCTGGCTGTAATAGAACTTCCTACATCTAATTATTTTTTATTCAACATGTAGACTAACCCAGGGATAGAAATTAGCACTAGCCTGCTAGCCCTGGTCAATTTGGCTAATGTTAAAAGTGTTCTCAGGGCTAGTAGAATTTAAATCATTTTGGGGCTGTTTCCATTTGTCATTACTATTCGGGCTAGTAGACTTTTTAGGGTAATTTCTATCCCTGTATGCTTGTGTTTCTTATGCGTAATACAAGGTCTGATAATAAGGCAAGAAAGCCAACTTGATACTTTAATAATTGCCCTCTTTCTGGAACATTTTTTTCAATTGTATTTGCAACTTATACCCATTGATAACAAGACAATACAGATTCTATATTGTTTGCTTAAGGAAAAGTATGTGTAATCTATTATATTACTGACTTCATTTGCAATCAAATCTGTTAACAGGTTGATTTTGAGAAAGGACAGACAAAACGCATGGAGAAAGATCTGAAGAAGACGTTGGCAAGCCTTGAAGAGGAGAGAGCTAACTCTGCCAAGCACAAACAGGTGGCGCTGATGTTGATAAAGGAACGTAAGCGCCTGATGGAGCGTGTGTTCAGTGAAAGGAGCAAGACGAGCCAGTTTGAACAGATTCTTGGGGAGGAGAAAGACAGGGTGATGAATATGGCTGAGGGACTTGTGCAGGAGAGCAAGAAGAGTCTGAAGATGGAGGCTGCCATGGAGAAACAGCTCAGTGAGTTTGATGTGGAGAGGGAACAACTTCGCAGCAAGCTTGGGAGAGAGGAGAACCGTAATAAGGAGCTGCAGGCCACAATAGACTCTCTCAGCCAGCAGATTGATAGCTCTCAGAAACAGATGCATGTGATGATGGAACGTTCCGCAGCCAGAGACACTGTACAGAGCATCGAGATCAAGTCCAGTGTGACGCCACCTAGTAGGGGAAGTAACTCTGGCACTGCCAGCCCCATTTTTGTGGCATCTCCGGGTCCGAAACCAGTTCCCAAAACTGCCAAACCGGGGAGCATAGACAGTCGCAGTAATACCAGTTCGCCTGAGAGAGACTTTATAGCTAGGCCTGATTCTGGTCCACGGAAACCTGTGGCCTATGGGAGCCCGAATGTGTCATCTACCTCTTTGGAGAGAATAGACTCTCGAGGCGAGCAGCGTTTAGCGCCAGTTGGTGCATCTGCAGCAGAAAGGGCAGCTGATGGCAGCCCAGTGCATCGTGTGAATATACCTCCAGGTTCTAGTGCTACAGTAGTGACTCCGTCTGGCGGCAAAATCTCACTCCATGTTGGAGGCGGAGGGTCGCCCAGGAAGGTAATGCCTACTGGCAGAGGTGCTCCTCCCCCCATCCCACCAAATAAACCAATTCTGAACCCGGGCACCCCAGGACCAAAACCTGCTCCCCCTCCCAAAGTGGGCTTATCTATGTCCAAGGACCGTGTTAGTGTTTCAGGGGCCGAAGTGGGAAGTGGGGAACATTCTAGTCGGATTACAGCATCGCAGAAAGCGGTGCAAATTCCAGTGAATGTAGTTGGTGGACAGAACGTGGCCCCTGGGTCTCGTACGACGTCCAGGGACAGCTCTCCCATGAGGAAAACTACCCAGGTTTGTGTCAATGCAAAATGAAGGGAGGGCATGGCAGGCTGTTGAGGGAGCGATCCGGTAGACATGTAATGCAATACAAATTTAGCTTGCAGGCCACCATTGTGAGCATTTGTCCATGTGCTGCCTTGACATTGTTCTGTAATAAAGAACAACCATCTATGTCCAGTCAGTTTAAATATATGTTAACGGAACCTACCCACTGCCCCTGTTGCTAATGTTATCTCAGTTATGCTTAATTCTGCCTTTCTCCCTTCATTTCTGTTTGAAATTTCTGGGTGACGGGTCTTGAAGTTTGTTTTGCTTACCTCAGCTTTGTTTTCTGCCATTTTGCACACATCTCCTTTCCAATATTTATTTTCAAGCATCTTTCAACCACAATTCTCATCTTCTGTTTCTGCCTATATGGAAGCAGTTTCACTTAACAGTTTCACTCATAACATGAGGGAAAGCTCAAGGCTATTTGATTGATAAGAACCGATATAAATGCATAGTTTGTGTTTGTCTGTGTCCACTTGATAAGGATTAGACATCGGTATCGGATTGTGCAATATGTTATGACTATTAACAGAATCTCATTGTGTTCAGTACATATTTTTAAACCAGCATTTACTCTTTAAAAAACGTATTATATTACCATTAATGATCATTTATTATAAATTTGTTATTGACGTAATGGCATAATATCATTAGTTGTAATGAATTGTGTTAGATGCAGCTCACACATGAGTAGAATTCTATGAATTCCATTACTTGTTTCTTATGTTAGTTTTATATGTTCAACATAACTTGTCCTAAGTGATAGACATTAGAATTCGGTACATCATGACTCTGACAATCATTAGTTGCAGTGCTTTGCATGTGTAGAAGTCACCTGATTCTGTTGTATAGCAAGGCACAGGCTTTGCGTAAGACGTAACTTTGACCAATTTGTACACAAGTAATGAATAAACTAAAGATATCTTTGTATCTCTCTCTTCTTTCAAATCTGTACTGAACTGGAAGCAATCCCCCTTTTTCAATACTGTCCATGTTTCAAGTTGACTGTTCATGCCTGTGCTTGAATGTTCCTTGAGTGTCACAGCCTTTGCAGACACCCATCCATTTCTAGTTTCAGTATGTCTCTTATATTCCTGATTTCAGTTTGAGATATTTTGTTAGGAACATAGTCATGAAATCTGGCATTTCACCATGAACATTCATTGTGAATATGTGACAGTTCATGTGGATGTATCATGCAAATATGTATCATTTATGTTAGGTTCATGATGTATAGTTGCATGATTTCATATCCTTGGCTCTGTGTTGATTAAAATGATAGTACATACAAGCATCAGGTTATTGTCATCTTCATCTTGTCACTACATCAGATGTGTCTGTTCAGGTCAACATCAGCATCTCAATGCTATGCAAAGCTTTCTCTACCTTGTACATACTCTATATATACCTTGACTTGACCCACTTTCTGCAGACCTTCACCCTATTTTTTTAATTCAGAAATTGACCTTGGTTTTTGATGTCCTTGACCATGTTGACAGTGACATTCCTGCTCAAAAAGCACTTTAACCTATAGTCTGTTTTAACAGAATATTTTAAAAAAATGAAATGGTTATGTAACTTAACTCACTCATGCGAACTGACCTTTCCACAGAACAAGTTGGTCACATGACCTTGACCCTAATTTTCACATCACCCTTCACCATGATAACATTTTCACTCACTTCCAGGGGTGAGAATCTTCCATGGATCGGCAAATGTTAGTGTCCACAAATATGTTAAAATTGACCCTTGACCCCCTATAAACACCCATAAATTATGGACCACACTGCATTGAAAAAAAGGTTCAGCTGAAAAGGAAAATATCCATTCTCATCCCTGCACTTCCTCATTTTTGAGTTATTAAAATTCTTAATTAAATTCTGCAATTATTTAACAGTGTGAAATATCAACAAGATCATAAAAAGCAACTGAAGGTTGGCTTGAAAGTTGCCATGACTTTTAGGCAGTTCAACACCAGTCCTGGCAATTCTATGCCATATTGTAACTGTTTCCACTAAGACCAAACTGATGACTTCGGTTCCATGTGGATGTCCATAGTTAATAGACGTCCTAAGGAATCTGAATCCTGGGAATAGATTCAGAATATGACCATGATTACAGGGACAATTCCACGGGTTTGCAAGCCAGCCAGGTTGTGTCTGTGAAGTGTATATCCCATGGCCCCATGCTGATTAGCAGAAACATCTATTACATCTATGTATACTGTTATTTATTGGTTGAAAAAAAATCCAATATTTGGCAATAGTCTTTTCCAATTTGCTTCCTATCAATCTTTTTCATTTTTTATGAGTCCTGGTTGTGGTAAATATAGAGTATGAAGACACATTTGGTAGACGGACAGTCACAAGGGGCAATAAAGGGTTTCACAGACACACATGTCAGTGATGCACCACTCATGCATGTTTCATTTCGATTTCTTTATCCACAAAACACATTTCACTTAGGCTATGAAATAGCTACCAGATAATGACATCAACTTTAACATTTTTTCTGTCTTTATATGACCATGATAAAAGTATCACTAGATATTTATTGGATTATTTTTGCAAAAGTGAGTCATTTGGTATTACATCAGTATTTTTTAAACAAGTTAACACTCTGAAGAAAAGATGATTTTTCACAAGGTCATTAATTTTTCCCATTAAAACAAAAAACAAGCATTACAGATTTACATGAGGTTGAGATTTCTGAATTGGGTCAGATGAGAATTGAATTGAATAATTTATTTATTTTGGCCTATGCCTGTTTTGTCCCCAACACTGAATACACCTCAGCCAGTTCTTGGAAAAGTGAACATGGTCAGACAACTCATCCTATTTTGTGATAGAGAGGGACGGTCGGGTCGCATAGTGGTTAAAGAGTTCGCTCGTCACGTCGAAGACCCGGGTTCGATTCCCGACATGGGTACAATGTGTGAAGCCCATTTCTGGTGTCCCCTGCCATGATATTGCTGGAATATTGCTAAAAGCGGCGTAAATCCATACTCACTCACTCACTGTGATAGATAGATAAATGATAAGGGGAAGACACAGATCCGCTAGGTTTAATTTGACAGAGATGCACTTCAAGGGTTTCCCTCTTTCTGGCCCGGCATGAGCTGCAATGCTACATGGAGCATGTGGCCTGTTCAGTGGTGCAGTTTCATCACGATCAGGTTGCCATGTATGCATGGAATCTGGTCATGCATGATTCAGTAGACATTCTTTGTTGGCAAACATTTTATTGACTAATGGTTAGTGATGTTTTTACGACATAGGACAGCAAATAATAGTTCTTCATAAACATTATAAATAAATAACTGATTGACAAATAATACTGAGGAAATAATATAGGGAAAATGCCTTAAAGTATGATGATGATGATGATGATGATGATGATCGTTACAGGATGTGCATGGACAAGTCCATAAAAATCATAATTTTTGCTCTGAACGATACCTCTCTGTTTGAAGATCCGACTACACCTCCATGAAGGGGATATCAGCTGAACCCTGAGCAAACTTTGACCACCCACTCTAATTAAAGGATTGTGATTTCTTTAGCCAACCAGATGTCAGATTTTTTAAAGGATTTGGCTTCATTTCTTTACCTTTTTGATTCAGACATTTCTCTCTTGGCCAAAGAAAACCACCACAAAACACAAATATACCGGTACCCTTGATAGTCAATGAAATATCCAATGTAATAGTGTGGCTTGGTTTTTGCATTCGGAACTGCCTGATTACATTTGGTTTCAATATTCCGAATATCAGATATGTCTGAATGTTTGGCTCACTTGGATGAGAATTTAGAAGCCATGATGCTGATTAGAAAGTCTGATGCGACCTACTGGTGTGTCCTCAGATCGTCGGATAGGTGTCACGTCGGAGTAAAAGATCTGATTGTAATGAAATTGTGCATGGACTGAATGAGAAATTTTTCATAGATGTAGGAGAAAAGGTACTTGACGATGATGTTTAAATTTAACAATGACTAACTAAATGATCCTAATTATCATGTTTATGACCATGATGATTATTAAACGATATGCATGGACTAAATAAAGTAGTATAAGACACAGAGTAAATGGAATGTGATCAATAACCATGTTACACAGTTTGTTATAAATCATTGTGCACGAATTGTTAGTATTGAGAGCATGAGAATTTGTAGCTATATTTTCTGTTCTGCTTTAATTCTACTAATTTCACTATGGATATTATCATGGTTATAGGGCCTGAGACATTCTAGACGTTATTACAATAGAAGCTCTACAATTAGGCGCTTGGCTGCAGTATTTGAACGGCCATGGGGTTCATCAGGATCGTGGCAGTCGGAAAGGCCCAAGGTACTCGAGAATGCATTTCACGCATGGCCGAATCTCTCAACATTCCATAAGTCATGTATTTCATGTTCTGTAGATCCTTAGTCTGTCAAGGTTTTCAATTTGCAGTGAATGGCAGTTGATTTTTTTGCAGCTATATCGTCCTCTTGATAATTGTCTTGTAGGTGCTTTTTTTTTTGCATCCCTACTTCTTAAAGTTTGACTGTTTCCAGAAAGAGTTTGATATAGATTGGTTTAGATACCTGTTTCAAGGTAGGTCATGCTTGATTGATAGTGTTCAGCAGTCTGTCGCAGTTGTTTGTTCTGGCTTGACTTCCTCTATGCCTAAGTGTGTTCTGAGGCAAGGGAGTTAACTGACTATGAACGTTCAGTTTCCACCCTTGCCAAACTAGGCTGGAATTTCTGGGCTTGATTGTAGTGCCACCAGTGGCTATTATGAGTTATGCCCCTTCTAGGCCCCTCCTATTGACCAATCAGATTCCAACAAAACAAAATGCTTCAAACAAAACAGCAGCGCCTAGTCAAGACGATCTGATCAATAATCAAGATGTGTATTGCAACAAAACGTACCATACCTAGCAAAGTGCATGAAAATACTTCAGCACCTTGATTAAAAACATGAAAAGATTTGGAAAATTTCTGTTGACGGTACACATGCTTTTTAAGTTCTGCAATTGAACATGATATCTGCACGGCAGTTTACGAACCGGATGTTGATTTCGTAGTCCAAGTTTTATTGGACTATGCATAGACATGTTAGTCCGTCCAAAAGATACCTCCAAAATTTCAGCCTAGTTCGGCAAGTGTTGTCAGTCTGTTAACTCCCTTGCTTCAGGAAGATGTGCCCAAGTGGATAGGCTTGGGATGATGTATGTCATACTCACAGTTTGAAATGAAGTGATTTTGTGATTTTGGAAGAACTTGACGTTGCTGATTTTATGCCAAGTATCAATCTTGTAATATTATGGTTTCTGATTAATTATGGTAAACACTGAAAGTAGATGAAAATGTTCAGATGAGGCATGGAATGTTTTTCACACAGAAACTGAATGTTAACTTTAACAGATTTAATTTCATTGTTTTGGGGCTGTTTATGTTTTCGTCTGGTAACCATAGTAATTTTGGTTATTGTTATAAGTTTCTAAACTGTGCTTCATAATCATGATAATATCCTGGTGCCAAATGTATTAAACTTGTTAAATTCATCTTTGAAGACTTATCCATACAGTTATGACACCTTTTCAGTTTGCAAGTTTTTGCATGACTACCTCTGTTGCCACATGCTCTCTTAGTAGAAATTCAGCAATAATTTTGAAAGACTTGATATTCACTGTAGGCAAAATAATTATTCTTGTTCAGGAACCTAAGAGTGTTGAAACTAATAGCTAATTTTCTCAAACTTAAATAACAGTAATCATGATAATATTAGAATGATTTGAAGGTAACTACAAACTTTGTATGTCTATGTTAACATGGTAAACATACTGAGCCTTATTTTAATATATCTGGCCAACCTGTAGCTCAACATAGATAAAGTTTTACTGGACAGATTTCATTGCACATCACTACACACCCAGACATTTATATGGTGGGGAAGAGCTCATTAAACATGCTTATTTATAGAAGTTACAAGATATACATGTTTTACAAAAGACATTTTATGAAAACCCCTTTGTATTTCCTTGAATCTGAAGTGGTTGCAAACTCACCAGACCATGGCTAACCACTTGCGAGAAATGGACCATTATCCTCCTGTTAACATATACCAGTGTGTTGGGGAAAGACATACAATGAACTCTCTGTACTCTGGTTAAAAGTGTTCTGTCTCAGTTGATATCAAATAGTCATAGAAGACTGAGAGCCATTCAATGAGGACATACAAATTTCAGGAGAATGCAAAGCAGATTCCGGGTAGGGTTTTCATGACAACTTAAGTTAGGTCTGAAGTTCGGCCATTTTGATTTCTCAATTTACCGGTTGTTCTTTTCCCAAGACAGTTTAGTTTTGAGTCAAAATTAAAATAAAAAGGCTTTTTAAAGACTGCTCTCTCACAAGTACTGTCAGTGGAGTGACAAACTGGAAGAATGAATTTGAAGAAAATGTATGTTAAGAGTTACTTCCCTTCTATTGACATTGACCTCATAGTTTTTCCATCACTGAAATCAGTTGACTGACTTGGTTTTGACATTTGTAAAATGGTTGATAGATCCATATCTATTTATGAAATACAGGTTACTGAATACTACTTGTAGATATAATTCAGTATGATAAATAATTTGGTTTAATTAGATCTTGATAAATTCAACTTTACAATTCAATAAAATATAACGTCCCAAAAAAGAAAGATTTAGGTACTTATATGAGATCTTATTTATCATTCAAAACTGTCTTCCACAAGAGATATTGCTTGGTTGAGACCAAGTGATATCTCCAAGGATATCCTAGGCGATATCGCTCATGATGAAATTGTAGCATAATGCATTGCAAATCATTGTCATCAGTTACCATGACATCACAATTAAATGATATCACTCTCTCTGCTACTAAAGCTGGTTAACTGTACTTTTTATACTTAAGATACTGGTTATTACTGTTTACAAACTGAAAGAGTTGGAAGCATGAAATTGGATAATAAGGCGACTAACAGAACAGGTGGTCAGGCTCACTGAATTGGTTGATGCATGTCATCGAATTCGAATGGATCGATGCTCATGATGTCAATCAGTGAATTGTCTGGTCCAGACTCGATTATTTACAGACCGCCACCATATAGCTGTAATATTGCTGAGTGCGGCATTAAACAACAACAAATTAATAAATAAAAACAAATTGGATGTAAAATAGAATCTCACCCTCGTGTCTTTTGATATAAAATATATCAACACTCATCATAAAAAGTTTAAAACTCCCCAGCACGTCTCAGAGTTTTAAACTTTTATCAACTTGAAGATTTCATATCAAAAGACACTGATCTAGTTCAATTTCTGTAGTGTTACCGTAATTGTCATCACAACATCATTGACTATGAATAACAGTAAACCAGAGGAATGAGTTTGGTCCTTTGAATTAACATACGATTAATTGAGAACACCTTTATACTAATGTTACTTCTATCAGGGCATTGATTCAACTTCATCCCACTGCTGCGTTTAGTGGTTTTATATCACAATTATAGTGTTGCCTCTTGCGTTCACGAATGTCATGCACAATAAATAGGTTTCTTAATTGTAATAGGATCATTGTTTAGTTATGGCTTTTAACATTGCCATGGAAACCAAATTTTGTGTAATGGATCAGAACTTGTGGAAAGTTTTGCTTTGAATTTCTTCTAGTCTGAAGTCATTTTACTGAATGGGTTCATTTTGATGAATAGTTAAAACCATACTGATGAATGTTGTAGCTCTCACACTCGTTCATTGATCGGTAGTACTTGAGTGTCATGTGCTTTTGTCTTCTTGTTGCACAAGCATGCTTCACAGTCATTCACTTAAGTCACCAACTTAGATTTCTCAGATAATTAATTTCATGTGTGCAAATATTGTCACTAACAAAGATATGTTTTCATTAGAAATAGTACTTTTGTTTTTGTATTTGGTTTCTATTTTGATATTTTATGTGCTTGGTTGAAAAGATATTCATTGTTGGGAAAACATTCAAGGGTCTACTATCTTGTTTACATTAAGGCAGGTTCTGATGAATTCAGATTGGTCTATTTTCTTGGACATTGACTGATTGTCATCCCAAGGTCCTGAAGATGTATTGAAATATGGTAATGATGTACCAGAATATCATTTCAAAAGTTGATCAACCCAATAGACAGCATTATCTGTTTGGTGAATATTCCAGTTCCATCCATGACATTAAGCATGCTTATTTTGGCATCTATTGATCATAGAAGCAGAAGAAGTGATATGGCTAAAAAAAGAAAGTTACTTATATATTTGTCTGTGTCAGTGCAGTTTGACCTAGACAACACGTTAGGCCCATAAAATTTACAAACTAAATGGCAAAACGTGTTTTTAGAAGCCTGTCTTATTCAGATCTGAATTTGATACCGACAAGTAGTTATTTCGAACAACACTTTCAGCCAAGCACATGTTAGTTGATGTTGTGTCTTTTATTTCACCTTTATTTGCATGATTTCAGTTTTGAGTGTGCATGTCTGCATGTGCTTGATTTCTTGCAGTTAATGCCCGGTCAGGCTTTCCAATCAGCCGGAATTGTCTCCCCTCCCACACCCGCGTTGGATTTTCTGGGGCCTGAAATGGCTGACTTGCAGCAATTGCTTGCCACAATGACCAAAGGTAAACGGGGCAACAGACAATATGCAAACAACAAACTAAAGCCTACAAGTTAGTGTTCAAGCTCTGGCTGCCTACAAGCTGCATTGCTTTCCATATTAACCTGCGAAATCACATAGGCAAGGGTGAATCTCACACTGTTTCAAGAACGTGTTTGATTCATGCATTCATTAGAGACCGAGCTCAGTGTTGAATCTGGAAACGTGCATTCATACTGCTTTCATATTTCTGTGTGCAAAACACTTGGCAGATAGTGCTTAGCTTTGGTTGTTTGATGGAGTAGAGCTTTAAGTTGTTTTTTAAATATTTTTTAATATTTTATGAGTTTAACACTTTTCCAAGTTATGGAAAATCAATTTGAAGTTGTTAGATTATTTGCGTGATTATCGTTTATAAACTCATTGAACTGCTTGACTTTGCAGTACATGTTCAGTGATTAAGCTGCTAAACTCATTTATTTGGAAGGGTCATATAAGTTAATTAGCCATGTTTGAGAGGATTTGTTTGCCTTCCTTTATAGATATAACACACTGTAGTATGATGGATTCTTGAAAAATCTGCCAATTTGTAAGATGTAATTTTGCTGTAACACACGAAAAGACACCTTTGACTCTTCAACATGTGTGATATCATATAATTCCCATGAAGACACACAGCCCTTCTTCCAATGCTTAATCACCAATGAACCCAGATCTGATGCTTCTACAGTGGCTTTTGGCTATGCTTATTCCCTACAGACACCAGAGTTTGTAAATAACTCAATGCCAGTTGTTTGTGCACAATTTTGTAGCATTCTGTACCATGGTTTCACCTGGGTCTACCTTTCTATACATGGTATTTCATGGCCATGGTGTGTCCTGGTGTACAGTGTTGTATCTAGATGTATTCTGGTGTACAATGTTGTATTTAGGTGTGCACCACGTATCTAAGTGTAGCAAGGTGAACAATGTTGTATTTTGGTGTACAATGTTGTATCTAGGTGTATAGTGTTGTATCCTGGTGTACAGTGTTGTATCTAGGTGTATCTTGTTATACAGTGTTGTATTTAGGTGTATCCTGGTGTACAGTGTTGTATCCTGGTGTACAATGTTGTATCTAGGTGTATCCTGGTGTACAATGGTGTATTTAGGTGTATACTGGTGTACAATGTTGTATCTAGGTGTATCCTGGTGTACAATGTTGTATCTAGGTGTATCCTGGTGTACAATGGTGTATTTAGGTGTATACTGGTGTACAATGTTGTATCTAGGTGTATCCTGGTGTACAATGGTGTATACTGGTATACAGTGTTGTATCTAGGTGTATCCTGGCATGTGTCATTGTTGTACCATGTAGGGATAGACATGGCATTTAGTTCAACATTACTGTAAGTCCAGACAATCTTTTCTCTAAGAATTGAGTTATTTCACCAGTGCAACAAGTCTGAAATGAGCTGCAGACCAGTTGGATTTGACCAATGTCTTCCCCTGCCATGGTGTACCTTCTCATGATGTCTGCTACATTGCTAAAGGCAGATCATTCTCATTTTCACACTACATGTCTATGACTATTACTTTGGACTTTCACAAGAACATTAACCCATCATACACACCATCCTAAATCAAAACAATTTTCAAGACAACATCCCACCGACCTCACTCACTAACTCACCCACCATATTCCCCTATGAAATCACCACAGCCTCCAAGTAACCTCATTATTCTTCCTCTAAAGAAATATCAATGTTTAAAACATTATGAAGATGACACCATAAAAAGAAATTACATTGACATCACTGCAAGTGAAGTGTGTTCCAAGACAAGCAGCTATAGCAATAACATACAAGAGCTACCACCGTATTACCATAATAGAACCTCTTGGCACTTTCATTCCTATTACAGCATGCTAAGTTGATGCAATCAATTATTCTGGTATGTGCATTGTTCTGTGTCCGTAGCCTCCTGCCTCAGGCTCTGCAACTGACGTTAGCCATGCTTATTGATCACTGGTATATGCCTGAAACAAATATGCCAATCACTGTTAATCAGCCAGAATCATGCAATATTCATATATAAGTCACACCATGCTTGTCTTATGGCCAACTGTAAAAAGCTTCTCCAGTGTATTTATAGCTAAAAAAAAGTAATTCGAAATGTAGCATCTTGATATTTAGAGCAGATTTGTGATGACTTCTGACAGGCATCACATCAATCAAAATGCTGTTAAGGCAATTTGATAATTGTACACCCATTACCAGTAATGTTGGTTCTGATTTACATTAATAAATTGCTGAATCTTGCGCACATCGAAGATTCTTTTACAAAATGGAACCTAATATTCCAAGTACAAGATTTGAGTTCAAGGATTTGTATAAATTATATGGATTTTTGGGGTGGGGAGTGTGTCACAAATAGTATTTGTATCATGCAGGGATGAGAATTTTCTGCGGAATTCCACAAATTTTGTTACATCAAGTGCTTGTTTTTGTTATACATGCCATTGCAATATACATATAAATGATATGGTCCCCCAGAACCCTGTCTAATTTTTAGTGTGTTTTTTTTTTAAAAAGAAAGAAAAGACATACACCCATTCTCATCCCTGATTGTCTGAAAAAATTATGGATCACTAAAAATATAAGTTGAGAGGTTTCAAAAAGGGTGGCGAGGAGGAATGTTTGGCCTTTGCCAAAATGACCCTGTGCAGATCTTGGGGTGTTGAATAAATGAATCAATCAATAAACCATTCAATGAATGAGTAGGAGTAGGTTGGTTCAGATAACTCAATGTCTCTTCAACATGTTGACAAAATATTTCCTTTGTCCATATTGCAAAAAGCACAGACCCTATAAACATCATGTATTCTGGTGCTGCAGCATCTTTGATCTTCAACCTAAAAAGAAATTGTTCGGGCAAGTACGAAATGTACAGTTCTCACTAGTTGACAAGCGAGACATTTAGACATGTTCCGGATGTTGTTCCAAACGTCAGTGCAAAGTATGTGGTGTCACGATGGCGGAGATGGATCTTGTGTCACATTGCACTGAGAGATTTATACACTTTTAAAAAATGAAACTTGAAAAGCAAGTTCTTCGGCTGCATTCTTGAAAAACAGCATTTTCTGCTGTCAACCCCTTACATCATTCAGTGTACAAGTTTCGGTTTCAGACAAAAATAAAAAGATGAAATCTAACTGCCACATAGGAAATAAATAGTTGTTGATCTGTAACGGTTTTCAGGTTACTCTTTGAAGTCTGTATCTTGGCCCTAGATTCTGAAAATTATAATATTGAATGTTGGATGAGGTATAGTACTGTTATGATGGGAAGGTCATAATGCACTTACCCTATTCGACATAATAAGTGCCCAGGGCGCTCTCAAAGTTAGAAATAGGGGGCTCTTATTAGAATATCATTTTGGAGAAAAAACAACAGAGTTGAAAAATCGTAAATTTTGTGGTTTATGCTGACAGCCTGAAATGTTTATATACGACAGATATACTTTTTTCAGAATTTATTTTCCCATAATTAAGAATGCATATAACATACGTATTGTACACAAATAAATAAGTCCTGTGTACATTGATAAATCGGAAAGGGTGCTAATTGTGATTTTTCACTAGCCAATATATAAGCAAATATCGCCGTGGGTGCTTATTAGAGCGGGGCGCTTATTATGTCGAATATGGTAGTTCCATTTGACACTCTTGATGGGCGGGACTGTAACTGGACCTCAATAATCTAGAAATTTCACATTCCAAGCTCAGTTGGCCATTGTAGTCTGACATTACAAAAGCAAAAACAGAAGACATACAGGAACTGCAGATGCAGGGATAATTCTATGGTAGGCCATGGGCTTTAGGCTCTAAATTTGAAAAAAGGCCCACATTTTCAAATACAGTGGGGTATTTTTCCATTGTGCTTTATGGGCGTACCTCTGGAATATTTGAAATTTTCACATGAAAATCCCATCTCAGAAAATTCCTAGAGTGAACCCTGCGGATGTTATTGGGTTGCATCATTTTAGGTTACTTGTATAGAATGAAATTGTACTATAGTATATTTTAGTGTAGTTAACACTAATCACAAAAGTGTCCTGTGGAGTGCAGGAACTTAATACAACGAAGTACTGTTCACTTGCCCTGGGGACCATGTCTAGTTATCTGTGCCTAAACCTTATTCACTATAGAACGCACCTTGGGTCCTAAGAAAATTGCCAAGATGGTGCTTAATCAGGCATACACATGGTCATTTTTTCTCAAGAGGTAGAGCTAAAGAGAGCAAATTTACTTCAAACATTGAAGCTGAATTTGTTGGTAATAGTTACTTAGCAATTGTCTACTCCTTCCTTACTGCTGTGTTTACTGTAAAATAATCTGTAATTTATCAAGAAATTTGGGTCTCATATAAATTTTTGGTCTTCTTAGGGGCACTTGTTAAAGATTACTTGTGGGCTCGTCAGTGAGTACTAATTGAAGCAGGGTGCTTAAAATGGGAATTACGGTATAACAAGTGATTAATGCTACAGTATTAGAAGCTTCTCAAAACATTAAGCTATTTTGATTCATGATGGAAGAGTGGTTAATCTTCTGAACAATGTGCTTGGTCCATGTATCCAATTTGAGTAGACCTCGCAACCAGACTCCTAGGTAACATGACACCATGGCACCAGCAAGCACACATCACACTCACCAGATTCTAGTTTTTTGTTACCAAGATGCTCAAGGATAGTAGCTGTAGAATTAAACTGTTCACGACATTCTGACAGTATAAGGGGGCACGGCAGCCCAGTTGTCTAAGGCGCCGCGATTCGCTGTGCAGAGTTGCGTCCCTTGGGCACACCAGAAACCTATGGTTGTGGGTTCGAATCCTTGTTCACCCCGATTATGTTTCTAGATCTGTCAGCACCATACCCGTGCTTGTGGGTTTCACCCAAGTGGTAAACGTCTGAGACCTGCATCACTTCAGGCTTTCCTCCCACATTAAGCTGACACGGCGTGATATAACTGGAATACTGTTAAAAGCG